TTTACATGCATATAATTGTGTTGAGTTGCCTTTCTTTTTTGGGGGCAGGGTTATGGAGTCTCTTTAAAATGATCCCCCTAGAGAAGTTGGTTAATGGGTATAAAAATGCAGTTAGCTGGAAGGAATAAGATCTGGTAATTTGCTAGTACAGTAGGGGAATCAGAGTTAACAGTAATTTGTTGTGTATTTCAAAATAGAAGAGAGGAGAGAAGATTCGTAATGTTCTCAAGACAAAGAAGAGACCAATGTTTGAGGTGATGGCTATCCCCGTTATCCTGATTTGGTCATTACGTATTGTATGTATGTCTCCAAATATCACATGTACCCCAAAATATGTACACCTATGTCAGTAATAAACAAAGTGATCCCCCTAATTTAGGCTGAACCTGCCCGAGTCTTGCTTACATTACTCATTTACTTACATTTACTAGTAAGCGCTTTCTTGGGGGAGTAAAAAATGACTTCAGCTTTGTCTGCAATCGGAATGATCACGGATTTCAAATTGATGAAGTCCAAGTAGGTAACCTGAACTTGTAAAAAGTGTTGTTATATAGTTTTGGACTTCCAAATTATTAATAAATAATAAAATTTGTTTGTAAACAGATTGTAAGATATATAAAGTATGTTAAAATGCATAATGTTAATAATTAACACTTGAAAGCACTGTTTCATATTATGCACTTAAACCCAAGATCGGAAATTCCCTTTTGTCAGTGAATACTTCTGGAAACCAGAGAAGCAGAAGATGGGCTGGCCGGGGCTCAAGCATAGTGGACGGTCAGGGTTGACGGGCAGAGCGACGGAGTGTGAAAAAAATGATAACGATTCTCAGAGATGTCCAACTGTAGAATTACAGATTCTACAAACTGAGGGGGTATCTCAGTGCCCCAAATTTATGTGTATTGGGTTGTTTGAAAATTTGCCCTTCAGATTGGCAGAGTTTATTAATTTATTTGTTCACTGGACAATTTTTTATCGAGTGCCTTTCTTTGTGTGCCAGACACACGTCATGAATTAAAAGCTTATAAAGCATTACTGAATTTTATTCCGGTAACTCTTTATCAAGCTTAACCTGAGGAGATCACCAAAAAGGGATCGTGGCTCTGTATGTACAGAGATTCCCGTCACACGGAGTAATGGCGAGCAGATAACTGACGGTCTCTGGGGGGATGTTCACGGGCTTGGCGGGTGTCCACCACGGGAAAATCCTGAAGATCTAAATGAGACGATTTCGTCACCCAGGGTGGGAGACGATTCTTGGGTTGTGCTGACAACTGCTTACTGCTCTCGTGTGAGTTTTTCCTAGAGAGGAGGTAGGAGCTGGGCGTCCACGCTAACTGTCGACCTCTCGGTTCCTCCGCAGTCCAACAAAGTGCCGGTGGTGCAGCCTTCCCACGCGGTCCATCCTCTCACGCCCCTCATCACCTACAGCGACGAGCACTTTTCTCCAGGATCACACCCGTCTCACATCCCGTCAGATGTCAACTCCAAGCAAGGTGAGAGCCCCCGCCCGCCCAGCCCGGTTCCATCCGTCTGAGCCACCTTCGCTCCGCGTCACTGGGCGGATCCGAGCACATTCGTAGAAGACAAGTGTACCCCATTTGATAGCGAGGCTTTAGAAACCCACAGGAGTTTGTTACTCTTATTTTTCAAGATTAAAAAGCAGAAGAAAGGCCGGGCGCGGTGGCTCACGCCTGTCATCCCAGCACTCTGGGAGGCCGAGGCGGGAGGATCGCTTGAGGTCAGGAGTTTGAGACCAGCCTGAGCAAGAGCGAGACCCCGTCTCTACTAAAAATAGAAAGAAAGTAGCTGGACAACTAAAAAATATATAGAAAAATCAGCCAGGCA